ATATCAACTCCAGCACAGTCTTATCAATTTCTATAAAAGGAAAACCGGATTTGGATTGTAACTGTGATGAAATCATATGGCAACTGAACTGTAAGTAACATCTTAATAATACTGAGACTTCCAACCCATGATCTACTGTTCTTCAACTTCTTTCAGAAGCCTGACAGTTAGAAGTGTGTTATGGTTTACACTTAGAGCATCCCCCAAAGGCTCATGTGTCTGGAAGGTGATTGGATTATGAGGGCCTTCGAGTGGACTTGCTGCTGAGAGGTGGGGTTCAGTGGACATGACCTGGAAGTGTTTACCTTCCTTCTCAGCTCTTCCTTTGGCTGATTTCTGTCTGCCATGAGGCTGACAGCTCTTCCTCTGCCAGGTCGCATACCACGCTGTCCTGCTTTGAAGCCAGCTGACCACGGGCTAAAACAAGAGCCACAACAGACTTCTTTCCTTTTAGTTGTGAGCATCATGTATTTTGTACCAGTGAAAAGAAAAATGAGTAAGACAACGTGTACAAGAAGTGCATATATTTTACAAAATTTTTCTAGAAGTATTTATATTGTTGACATTATCCTAGGCAGTATTTAATTTTTTCATTATTATTTTTCTTATTAGCAAAAGTTATTGTTTTTTATTTCGAGTTGTACTCTACAATTACATGAACTCAGTTAGTAGTTCTAGTAGCTTTCTTGCAAATTTAATAGGAAATACGCATGATTTAAAAAATTTTCCTACTATCTATAACCTACTATTAGCTAGGAACCCACACTCCCTAGAATAATTTTGAATAAAAGTTGTAAGAGTGAATATGCTCTAACTTACTATTTTAGGGAAAAGAATTCAGTTTTTTTCATTATATATAAGTGACTTTTTTCATAAGTGTATTTTATCAGATTGAAGTTCTTTTTAAATCCTGTTAAGAAACTTTGTCATAAATGAACACTGAAAAATTTTAAATGATTTTTCTACATCTACTGAGATAAATACAATATTTTTCATTATTCTGTTAATATGCTAAACTATAAGGATTGTTATTCAAATACTAGACAACTTTAGGAACATAAAATTTATCACACTTACTGCTTTTTAAATTTTCTGGATTTAAATTGATATTTAATATTTAATATTTAATTTTTGTTTATGTTCATGAGGACAATTAGCTTACAAGTTCTTCCTTTCTTTTCTCTTTTTTTTCAGACATCTTTGGTTTTGTTATCAGCACAATCGTGGAATTAGTTGTGAAGTCTTCATTCCTCTTGTCATTTGTGGATGTTTTTATTGACTAATTTTTCTCATGTTCATGGCTTAAAATTTACTTCTTTAGGAGGTTTATGTAATTTAAACTTAATAGAGGTATTTGGAACTTTGCGTTGTTCAGTTATTATTTTCATTTTGAAATGAAAGATGCCAGCCTTCATTCTGGAGGGCTGTTAAAGGCTTGGCGGATTAGCCTCATTCCTACAAGGCTAGATTCTAAGCTGTGCTAGGCTTTAGAGTCATCTTTACCCAGGGGATATTCTTCCCACTTGTACAAAGATGTCGTTGATCAAGGTATCACAAGCATTGTCAAACATGTTTGTCCAGGTCTGGGCTACTTCTCCGCTCAGCAGTGTCTAGAAGTCACACCTGCAGCTCTCAGTCACTTGGTCCCAGTTGGGTCTGCTTGGCTTCATGGAGTCCGATGCTGTGTGTGGCCAGAGTTTAGTCCTCTGTCATCGACAGTTATTAACACGCAGGCGCTTTGGCTTGTGCCTGTGTAGGTTCTTCTTGGCTACAGATCCCAGTGCGGGGGTCCCTGGCTCCGATTCGTTTCTCCTAAACATTCAGGGACTGTCAGCTCTAGTTGTGGTCCTTCTCTGTGTGACTGGTGTGGACGCGCCGGTGCCTGCTAAGCTGCAGCACACTTTCCCTGCTTCTTTGGGCTGCTGGGCCCAGCGCAGCCTTGGGACAGTAGCTCGGATTTCAACTGTTAATCGTGGAACTGTAAATCTCCCTGTTTTTAATTATGATCAGTAGCATCATTTTTCCCACTTCTTTTTGTAGATAAGTAAAATGAGACTTACAGAAATGTAGTATAATGAGAAAGAATAGGGATGTGAGTATAATTTGGGGGCTAAATTTTTCCTTTTAGCAACTGTGCGACCTTCAGTAAAGTTACTTTGCCTTCCATGTTGGTCTGAATGGAGAGGCTGCTGCTGTTAATATGCAGTTAGGAACTATCTGTGATAATGTGATGATTAACTGAGATGGTATCAGTGAAATTTCTGCGCAGGGCTTGGTACATAGTAAGTATTGGGATTGGTGTTTGCTAACTAATCATATTGCTCATCATTACTTTGCTAGGATTTGTTTTTTTAAGATAAAATATGATGTATTTTCTTATTTATTTCTCTATGTTAAACAAATCCTTAGCAACCTCCTAGTAATTACTGGTTGCCTTGGCTTTGGAAGGATTTCTGACCTCAGGTTCAGGAATGTTAATACCGATGGCAAGACGAGCGCCTTGTCTATTATTTATCACAGTAATTTTTTCCTTTAAAAAAGTCTCCAGAAACAGAGAATAGGTATGTTCAAGCCTGCAGGACAAATCCTCTGTGAGCAGTGACAAAGTACACTAATTTCAAGGAATGAAAGTTTGTTGGAGTCTCTGGGAAAGTTTTAGAGGGAAGTCTGTGGACAATCCATCACAGTCCCAGTTCAGGACACTAGAGATGAGTCGAATTAATCACAGTGATAGATGCCTAAAGTCCACAGGGCTGCGGCGCCGATGGCAGTGTCCCCTCCCCGCCCCGTGGTGCACGGAAGTGTACGAGTTCTAAGAGGTGGGCGCGTGGTGGAGGCCTCGCTCCCCTGCCCTGTGTGGAGGGGCGCCTCCATTGCGCCCTTGGCCATGATATGTGCCACTCTTGTACCTCTTCGCTGTGACGTGCGCCGTGACGTGTGCAGTGATGTGACAGTGACGTGCGTCGTGACGTGCGTCGTGACGTGCGTCTTGACGTGCGCCATGACGTGTGTGCAGTGACGTGATACCTTGCTACATCTCCAGAAGCAATGGCGCTGGCGCCCGTATGGTCCTGGCCTGGATCTCCAAATCTGGGAGCCAAATGCATCTTTTCTCTTTCTAAATTGATTTATCTCAAGTGTTTGTTGTCACTATGGAAAGCTAATGAGCGCCAATACTAATAAACAGTTTCATAATCTAGGGATTGCCATAGTTCCTCAACGTCCATGGCTGATCTGTTCCAGGAGACACCAAGGTACCAAAACTGTGTATGCGCGGGTGTTTTAAATAAAACGATGTCGGAGTTGCGGACCGATCTCCTTCCATAGCTCTGAAGCCCTCTCCAGGTTACTTGTGATACGTAAGGATATGAAAGCCATGCAAATTGCCATACGGAAGAAAGACAGGAAGAATCTGTCAGTAGAGGTGAAATTCTTCTAATGGTTTTCGATCTGGGAAGGTTTGAATCAGAGGACACTGGAATTTGCGCATACAGAAACTTGACTTAGAGTCACTCACAAGACAGTTTTTAAAGAATGCTTAGTGTTCACTGTAGAGTGCCATAAATTCTTGGTGTTTTTTGTTTCACTGTTTGCTTTGCAGCACTGGGGGTCAAAGTCAGGGCCTCAGGCTTTCAGGCCAGTGCTCTGTCACTAAACCTTATCCTTCACCCCAGCTCAATAAAATCTTCGTGACAAGTAGCTCAGCAGCTGAGAAAAATCAGACTGAGGTAGTTCAGTCATTGTTAAAGGTGTGACTATGTCCTCTGATGTTCCTCCCAAACTTAAATATGGCAGATAGGTCACAAATAAAGCAGACTTCCCAGCCATGTGTAAAGGGATATTTAAGCTGAGCAGAAACAAATGAGACATCTTCCCTGCTGAATGATCATAGCCACGGTGTCAGCCAGCAGCACCCACTATCCTGAGAGGCCAGCTAATGAGCTCTTGTTTATGTGTGGATGATGGGTAGATGTAAACTCCATCACAGTGACCAAACAACCTGTGATCTGAATCGAAACTTTCCTTGTTTCAGCGACATTTGAACTGCATATCAGAATAAAGTTTATAATACAGTGGGCATTAAAATTAGACCATCTAATTCTTAAATATCTGATTAATGATGGTTTTGGCTTGAAAACAAAATACTCTCTATTAATGAAATTTTAAATTGGTTAATAAAAATGCAGACATTGGGCTCATTGGTATAAGTGCTTGCCTGGCAATCGTGAGATTAAGAGTTCAATCGATGGTACCCCCCCAAAAGCAGCCATTTGGGATTACCTTTGAGAATGATGCTATAAAATTCCATGAACATCTCTATAAAATTCCCAATCTCTTATTCCTTTGATTTTTTAAAGATCATTGTAGGTACTGTAAAGTATATTCATTGTGTGCAATTCTTGAACTGGAATCAATTGCTTTCTTTTCTGACAGTTTAAATGCTTTCTGATTCTTGAAAACTTTTCTAACAATGCTCATGAAAGTTAAAGGAAATGGTTTTCTATAAGCCATCTAACTTGCAGGGATTTAAACTGTAGATGAAGATGTTTGTTCTCATTTCATTCTGTGAGCAGGCCTTTTGCATATTTTGGGCCTTTGTGGGTGTTTTTCTTGTGAAAACAGGTGTCCCACGTGGCAGGGCCAGCGACTGTCCCACCAGCTTAGCAACCTGAAAGTCATGCTGCAGTCTGCGCAGAGCCCAGAGCAGAAGTAGAAACCCGAGTCCTTTTCTTGCTCTCCTTTCCTATTTTTCCTTCTTGCTTTCCCCCCACTTTTTGAGTTCCCCATTCTTTTCAAAGAACATAGAGACACTATGGGAACTACAGATTCTTGCGTGGTGTGCATAACTGGAAAAAGCACAAACACTGGAAAGCAAAAGTCAAGATAGTTACCCAATCCTCAAACCTGGAAGATTCCCAATACATTGCACAGGAGAAATTTCCAAAGGTGGGGGAGGCAGTTATACGCGCATACTTCCCAAGACAGTGACACACTGAAAATTAATGTCCCAATTATGTATTTAGGAAATGTTGGTTTTATATAAACCAGAGTTTTAGCAGTGATTGCTGAAAGAAGTCATTACATTTCCAAAAGAAATGAAACCTCTACAGAGTTGGTATCAACAAAATAGATTAATGAGGGGCTGCCATCCCATCCCCTTTTCCATGAATGCAGTCCAGAGCTTTAAATGTCCTTATATCTTTGTCATACAGAGTGATTACAAATATGGAAGCAAACAAAAACAAATCTCTGTCCCGTAATAGCATCTGAAGCACAGACTCAAGCTTCTCTGAGCCTGATGTGTTCTCTTGTTCTAAAAAACAATCCAAAAGTACTTGAGATCAAGAAAAGATAATACCACTGTCATTTCTGTTATGTTAGGATGGTTTTAGTGTAAGTTCAGCAATTATTTATTGAAGTAACTCATGAAAACACGAATAAAATACCTATATATACAAAGTGGCACAGTATGATTTTACCTAATTCTTAATAATGCACTTGCGAAGTTTCCCTGCTGTAACATAGTGTAGGCCAATAAATACAAACACTGGGTAATATATGAACACCAAGAAAGTGGGGATCATTTCCATAGAGAAAGCCCTCAGTCCTGGAAACCTCAAACATGAGCTCAGTTGGGGTTCAGTGTCCACAAAGCTGCCCAATCCCCAGAAGTCTCTACCGGAAAGTCTCTCATGGTGGAGTAATATACTTTGTGACATCATGCGGACAGGAGAAGCCTGCTGTTCTTTCTGATTCTGTCAGTGCATGTCATCTTGAAGTCACTTTACAGACTGCGAAGTCAGGGCTGATTCTGCGAGACTCCTCCCACTGCTGCAGCAGAGAAGCTGAAGATTAAGCCTGTTGCAAGAACAACAAGACATCAGAGTCCCAGGAAATGAGGAAGAAACAGGGTGCGGGGGGTGACCTCAAGGTGGTGAGCGTGCTGGGGGCCTGTAGCGGTTTTCTCCACACGCAGGCTCTTCAGACTCAACGTACTTTCTGGAGACCTAGTCCTCGTCCCAGCGGAGTCCCCACTGCACTCATGGCCCCAGGCTCTCCTGTCACGTCTGTGACTCAGCCTGCTACCAGGCTGGTGGTGTGGGGGTCACTATCATCCAGAACTCTGACCTTATCCACTCCCACAGCCCATGGCTTGCATCTCTCAGTCCTGTTTCTCCTCCACCTCTTCAGCTGCAGTGCTAGGTCAGGCCTGACCAGGAGGTCATTTCTCTCTCAGTGCTGTCCACTCACTCTTCCTGTGAGTTAGAGTTGCACCTTAAACACATGGCAATGTCACCTGCAACCCTGCTACTCCCACTTCATACCTGCAGTTCCAGACCCGCTCCTTGCAGTGATGAGGAGCTAAGAACTTTGTGGGTGGCTTTCCTACTTCCTGCTGCATCCTGACCAGGGAAGAGATTGAACGGGCCACTTGACCTCTCCTTCATAGCAGGGCCAGCCAGGCCCTGGGGTAGGGTAGGGGATTTCTGTCTGCAGCACAGACATGGCTCTCTGTGTTGGTCCAAAGACAGTGAAGGCTGAGGCAGCTTCTGTGTTTTAGGTGGGAAGTGACCAGGCTGAGTGGGCAGGGCTGTGGACAGGGTGCGGAGGCTGACCTCAGCCTGGTAGATGGCACGGCGTGCTGGAGATAGTGTCACCACCATAGAGATGTATCTGCCTTCTCATGGCATAGGTGGTGGAAAAGTTTCTTTGATAAGGGTGGCAGCTGTGTCTCCTGCTAAGGGGGACAGGCTGCTGTGGCCTGGGGTGACTACCAAGGTTCATGTCACATCTTTGACATCCTCCAGAGAATGGATGGCTGGCATACACTCAGTACACACAAGATCGGCGTGGGTCTGGAGAGACAGTAGACCAGGCCCTCCTTCAAGTGCTAGACTGACTCACTTCCTGGTGGGGGGCAGCCCTGAGATGAACCAGTGACATGGATGGTGTTCGTGGGCTAGGGGGTCAGTGTTCCTTCCAGCCCACAGCACCCTGGCAGAGGAGCCCCCATCCTGCCCCTCTGCTCCTCTGTTGTACCCACTCTTGTGCACTGACCTGCATTCCCCAGACTGGTGCTTCTTAGCTCCTCACAGATAAGCACCAGGTGGGTTTAGAGACTCCTAACCAGCTGGAAACTGATATTTCAAGATGTATAATTACATGAATTAAGTGCTGCAGGACATTTTCAAGCTTTTCATCCTGTAGTTTATATACCACTCAGTGTCATAACTCTTTATCTTTTGGACATGCTGCTTCTTATGCCTACAGAATCTTTTTTTTTTTTTTTTTGCCTAGATTACTCTAAGGAAAATAATTCTGTAAGTCTCAGTTTACGTACCATCTGTAGGAAGTTTGCCATTAAACTTCCATGGGATCATGTCTGTCTTTAGATATCATTATCTTATCTTTTATCACATTATACTAAAACTATTTTTCCGTCTGTGTGTCACTCTGAGGTCCAGTTCTGTGTGCCCTCTGAGGACCGGTTTGTTCAGATCATTGATTGGCACCAATAAGAAAGCAATGTGCTTTGCTTTTTCTATAGTTTTGCAGAGAAATTCTAGCCAGAGGCATTTTAAGTGATAGCAAATGATACTGTCAACTATGCCACCCTCTCTTCTCCTTATCCTGCGAACTGATCTCAGAAAAAGAGAACAGAACACATTTTTCCCACCAGTGAGTGCTAACATGTATAAAAATGCAAACAATGAATACGTTTTGCATCTTTGATTCTAGTGGCCTTCAAAACTTATCACAAGCTAATGTATCACGAATTATTATTTTTAGGGTAATGTCAGTTCTTCTGAGGAAGGAACCACTTTGTTCTCATAGTTGAGATAAAAAAGGATTATACAGGGAATGTGAAAGTTAAAATAATTATCTTATTCTAAGAAACTATGGTCCTTCTGTGTAGCACTGTATGTGCAGTGACATGGTGGTATTTTCTGAAAACCCTATCCACCCTCCTGTGGTTGATGTAAGAATGCATGTGAGTTATGTGTCAGTAACAGTCATGTCCATATAGCTTTTAAAATGTTTTCTCATTTCTGTGCAGTGCTTCATACTCCAAGCAGAAGGTAGGCCATAGGTTGGAAGTATTTCAGAATTCTTGTCTGCCCTGACAAATCACATTAAGCATGATTCTCCACACAAAATAGATGATTGATAAATGAAGCAACCAGATCTAATTATATCTAGTGTCTGATTTGGAATGTATCTAGGTGGTTGTGTCTATGCTTGCTGTTGAATACAGAGTCAAAGACCTCCACTTTTTTCTCTAAAGCTTTTAGGTCTGATGAATATATTGCTGCTCATCCTGCATCTCTGCATCAGTAACTGATTCCTAGTGCAAAACTTAGAAAGTAACTACTCATTAGTTCTCCAATTCCTGGTACAGGGGTAGAAATACATATTTTAAGAAAATAAATAGCCAGCAGAATTGACAGATGTCAAACTTATTCTTCTCATTACATTCTGACTTTTACTCTTTAGAACATGGTTATCTAATTCCAGAACTACATAGAGGACAGCAAACATTATGTACCTCTGAAAATCAAGACACAAAAGCGAAGATTAGGAATAATTTTTAAGGTATGACAATGGAGATGAATGGAGTGGAACAATGATCTCTTGTCGGGCTTGTTTGGGTCAGCACTATGCCTTGTCTCCTGCATAACTTTTTCTTCTTTGCTTTTGTTCTCCTTTCCCAGTTGAACAGAGGACATTATTAGTCTTCCTCCAGGTTGGACAATGAGTGTCTATACTTTCAGCATTTTGATCACTAGAAGGCCTCCCTTTAGCAGACACTGGGGTGCAGAGGCACTGGAGCTGGCCTTAGTTACGACCTGCCCAGAATCCTCTCATCCAGCTCCCCAGCCTGGCTCCGCACAGTGTTCAGGACAAACAGGTGGGTGACGCCCACACTGCTTTCTTTGTAGTCCACCCTAAGCGTCTGGTTATAGATACGACATTTGGATGTGATGTGTGTATCTGGCCCGCAGCTCTTGCCTGTCTTCTGCAGGAAACACTGTGGGAACTATTTATTCAGCAGGTGCCTGCTGAGCGAGTGTGGGACAGACCTGAGTTGACATCTTCATGTTAGGCACAGTCAGGGGACACACAGTGACATCCTCATCTGGGCTACTTTCCCACAAAGAAAACCATGGTAGTCGGACCATCTGGTGCCTGTAAGTATTGACTCGTTTTTGTTTCTACTCTTTGTTCCAAAGCATAGATTCCTCCACAAAGCATCGCCCATTAATTGTAAAAACGCTTAACCAATGTATCTTAGAGTAACTAACATAAGAAGAAAATTTCCCAGCCCAGTTCTAGGAAAGCTAGGGCGATTCTATACTGAATAATTCTGTGGCGGGCTTGAAACGGGCCTGAGCTGTTTAATTGAAGTATGAAAAGGTATTTCTCCTGCCCTGGCTCCCGGTGAAGGTGTGGGGTAGCAATGGTGTTTGTAAGACTCACATTGGTTATTAATTAGCAGTTATCATAAAAGATTGATCATTTCATCTCATTGATACCTGGAGGTTGTAAATCAGAAAGATTCCTCTATGATCAGCTGGATGGAAGAAGTCCCAATTGACCTTGCCTCTCTGGTCACCCTCTTCATGGTGTTTTGTGACAGGTCCCCAGAGAAAGTGTAACGCGGGTGGAGAGAAGGCAGGACTTTGCACCCAGCTCCTCGGAGCCCAGGCCTGAGCCGGTCTGGGGCTGTGGTGGATCGCCTTACTTCTGGCTTTTGTACTATGTCCTTTGTCCCCCTACAAATCATCGCTCGCCATAGGGCCCTGTCTAACCAGCTGGCACTGTTGGTGTATGTTTATTGACCCAGGCAGGGTGCATTTAGGAAACACAGAAAGAATTCAGGTCATTCCACAGACAGGAAGGGCATTGGAAGAATTTTCTACCACACTCATTTCTCTAGCAATTGTTTATAGAGCTTGTTTTTAGACAGACAATGATGGTGTCATGGACACAAATAATTAATTTTTCAGGTTTCAAGACTCATTAAAATAATCTAGGTTGCAGCTGGCTAAGGAAGCAGATAGGAGCGAGACTTGAGGAGGAAGGAGGACACTTACGTATTTATTGCCCAGGGCAGGCGGACTCTCCACACGCTCAGTTCTTGCTCTTCTCTGCCACACGGTGCTCGCCTGGAAAGAGAGGAGGGTTTTGGTCTAGGTGCTCAGAGACTGGCTGAGGGGGAAAATCATGGTTCTTGATTTAGTTTTTTGTTCACCAAGAATGGTCAAATTCTCCTGCAGTACAATCATTAGAGCTACAATTTGCCTCTTGTTACAGTTGGAAATTCATTGGCCAGATACATGATCTTTCTCTGGCCAGCATCCACTTCAGCCATGGAGATAGAGCGACCCCTGGAAAGTGGATTGATCACCTGGATGATTGATGATGGGTGGGCAGGTGGAAGAGTGGTGTAGGCAAGGATGTCCATCTGTCCTTACAGAGCCAAGGTCCATGCGGAGGCAGGTGAAGCCTGGGGAATCTGCTGTGGGAAGTGGTTCTCAACTGGCACTGTGTGAAAGGCCACCATGCAAATGTGCTGTGGGTTTGACTTAATCCTGGGTGACAGGAATTCAGAATTCATCCCAGGTCTCCAGGCAGAGGGATGGAGTGACAAGTTCAGATCTGCACGCTCTTGTTCTAGTGGTTTACAGTGAATCAATTTTTGAAACTGTTCAGTGGCATAATGTTCTCTTTCTTCATTTGTGTAATCTCTAAATTTGTTTTCTGTGTAACTTTTATAGCCTTATGCATTTAAAGTGAAATAATGCACATAAACTTTCTGAGACATAGAGTGAGAACCACGTTTAAAATGCATCACGCCACTTGTATCTTCTGCAGTCAATCAAGGTGACGTTCAACTTGGCAAGATGTCTTACTAAAGCCAGGAGGCGTCATCTGGGTTTCCTGCAGGATCGCTTGATCTGCCGTACTCAGCACATACATTTCTATGAAGTTGTATTCTTATTACATGCTTGGGGGCTTTCTCTTTGGCACTAAAGAAGCTCAGGATGTGTCTGGGCTCCATTTGGAGCAGGCAGGGAGTGTGGCTGGACAGGCAGTGCAACTTTAGTGGAGGGGGAGGACTTGAGGTCAAGGAACCGTCCTCCCAGCAAAGATGACTAAGTCTGACCTTGGCTCTCAGGGCTTCTGGAAACCCAGATGATTTAGTATCTGCTGTCATTCCTGAGACCTGGCCCCTGCAGAGGTCTGCTTCCTTGGAAACATTGTTTATTGGCCACTAAGATGACACAATTCATTTCAAGACAAAAGTCCAGTTTCTACATTGAAGTAAATGGTTGTGCCAGAGAATTGTGACAGCTGGAAGCTCAAACATCTTGGAGTTACTGACCTCCCACATTCATTAACACTGTTTTTTTTAGACTTGGAAGCAAATAAGATAAATTGTAGCACCCTGATTCTGATTAGTCAAATACTTGTATCAAATTGTTTCTGTGTTTTAAAAAATGTAAAGATATTTATATAGGTGATAGTAGAAAAACAACAAACTGAACTAAACCTGTGAATTTAGGTGAAACCTAATCCTTTCAGGTTTTGTTCTAGTTATATTTTAGGCAGGAAATGTAAATTTAGGAAATGCCAGTATTGGTACTGAGATACCTGAATAAAAATAGTTTTAACAATGTAACATCTGTTAAGTGTGCATAATTTTATAAACAAAACACATTTGAATACATTTTGAAAGGCAGGGAGATGAAATGGCTTGGAGACTATTAAGGGTTATGGAGTCTTAACAGTAGACTTTAGTAAGCGCAATGCTGGTCCCAGGACCATTTGGTTACTGTTACACTTGATCTTATTAATTTTAGGCTATCAAAATCTGCTCTAAATCCTCATCTTCAGCTTTGCTGTATCACCACCATGTAGCTTTCACGGTAATTATCTGGTAATCCCTTCTCAGAGGTCAGTCGAACTTGGCAGAACAAAGGTACCAGAGGCTCTAACCTCCTTTTCTTACAATATTTGCCCCATAGACTGTGACTAAGAAAGACAGGAGGCTTGGAGAGCTGAGGCTCTGTTACGATTCCATCCCAGCCCATTCCATGCAGCCAGTGGGAGCCCTTTCAGAAGGATCCACAGTGCATTTTTGCAACCAAAAATCATGATAGGATCTGTGGGACTTTGCCTGAAGGAAGCCCTGATTCAATTGTCTCATGTGACTTCCCTAGTAGTGAGCAGAGAGGACAGGAGGTGGCTCCCTTGGGGTCCCTTCTCAGGAGAGCCCTCACAAAGGCCCTGAGGGAGCCAGGGGCTCAGGCCTGCAGGTAGCAGGCAGGTGCTGCGTGAGGATGAAGCTGGCTGCTCCAGAGCTGACTGAGCTCAGCCACCTGTGGGCTGCGGGGCTGTTCCCTGTCTCGCTCCCACCTGGGAGGAGAGGTGGCCGCTTGGCCAGGGTAGTAAGAATGTGGGGACCTTGGCTCGTAAGGGTTTCATGTGTGCCGGTAGCATGGCTCACTGTGACGAGGTCTCCCATGAGAAGTGGTTCTCAGGCTATGTGGGGAGGCTCCAGAGGGCTCTCCAGGTACAACACCTGCCTGCCCTGCCTGGGACATCAGGCCACACTCAACCTGGGGCATCTTGCTCCTGACCTAGATAATACTACAGCTTTTTGTTTTACAGAATTACCTTTAACCCGAAGAAATATTTATAATGCAGTTTGTCATCCTGTAGCTGTCACTTTATACAATCCTTTGGGGGACTAGTTTTGTGTAAGTAAAATTTGACTGGACTGAATGTTATAAATAGATTAATATAACTGGATATTAGAGTTACTGGGATTATTTTGTAAAATTTATAATTACTTTAAATTTATTCCCTTTGTGGTATCAGTGTTGTACATATCTGGTCTACTCAAAACAAGAAAAAAAATCGTGCTTTTTTTATTTTTAAAAATCTCCTTGGTATCATTTTGACTGTTCTTGGTACTTTAGATTTCAAAACAAATACAACAAATAAATTAGAATAAAATGCAGATTTTAACAATGGGAAATTGTGATTATCTTTATTGGAAGCTCAATTAAAACTGTATAAAATGATATGGAACATGACTAATACTTTAATGGATTAATAATGTGTTGTAATAAAGATTGCTGGTTATGCTTGACTGTATATAGCCATTATCAAAAATAAAACGAAGCAACAGTGATACTAAAAAGTCCATCAATAAATTCAGCATTCTTCCTGCCAGCCCTGTGGGACGGAAAGTACGTCCTGTACTGCCTGTTCTTTAGAGCCCACATATAACACAAAGAAAAACAACCTCAGACGGCTGGGTAGCCTAATGGCTTTATAAAAATGGTATTTGGAGGGTTCCTCTTTCCTTCGTACAAAACATTTCTGTTCTTTGAGAGTTAGTAACTGAGTATTCCTAAAGTAGCTATGCTTTTGGGTTGTGTCTCATGTGACAAATCCAAGGCTATAGTTAGATTTTAAAATAGCCATTTTTCCATCTAAACAACTGTCTGGGAACTCACCAGGCTCGTGAGAAATTGTCTTGACAGTGAGCAGCTTCACACTCTCTTTGTTGGACTGTGGTCTGTTTGAAATGGAAAATACCATTAGCACACAGGCCAGCGGGCGTGTCCGCAGAAAGGTAAACACAGCACTGAAAACCTGCATGTAGTGCTACGTGTCACTGAGGCGAAGCCTGCGTCTCTTCATGCGCAAAGCCACATGAACTGCTTAGCATTTTCCGCTCTGGAATCGGAGCAGTGAAGCCTCTCATGCCACTGCAGCGGTGCCAAAGCTAACTCTGGCATCAGTGTGGCAGTGCGGGATGCTGTTGCAGGGCCACCTCGCCCTTGTCTCCGGCTCTGAAGTATGAGAGGGAGCCCTCGCAGTGCCCCCAAACCTGTGGGTCAGCTGGGCTCCGGGCTCTTTGTCTGCTTGTCCGGGACCCCGCAGCACAGCGCCTGGCCTGCCTGTCCACCAGGAGTTCCTGCCTCACTGTTCCAGCACCAGCCGGTTTCTAGCCCGTTCCCTCCCTGGGACCTCCCCAGAGCTCCCATTCTCCGGACGGAGGTGCTCCAGGGTTGTTATTTCTAACACTCACAACCTGATAAGACACAAAACCACTTATACACATGCAGACCACAAACGCAGGCCAACAGCGGTCTGACCCCGCAGCACTTGCTTTTGACATGGAAACGCGATGGCGCTCTTTATGGCGCTTGGTTGTAACAGGTGCTGGGATGGCTCACAGCTCCTGCCTGCTTTTGTAAGGTCTAAGTAAAACCATCTGCTGTTCAGGTAGAGCCACTCAGAGCCAGCTTGCGGACAGGCGTGACTTTTCTGAGATTAAACATGCTGAAAATGTCACCGGGAAAACTATTTTAAAACTCTATGCACGGTTCTGTGGTAGTTTCTTTCTTAGTTTGGTTCTATTTCAATTTTCTCCCCTTATCTTGCCATTTATCTACACTTAAGAGCAGTCTTCTCTTTCAGTTGTTGGAATTTCTCTGTTCAGTGCTGAGAGCTCTTGGAGACAGCCAAATCCCTGATGATGACCTCGACAGCCTTTTCCTCCCCCTCTCCCTCCCTCCCTCCCTCCCTCCCTCCCTCTCCCTCCCCTCCCCTCCCCCTCTCCCTCCCTCCCCTCCCCTCCCCCTCTCCCTCCCTCCCTCCTCTCCCCTCCCCTTTCTCCTCTCCGTCCCCCCCTCTTTTTCTTCCCTCCCTCCTTCCTTCCTTCCTTTTCTTCCTTATCTCCTGTCCCTCCATTTCTCTCTCACTTTTCTTTCATAAACAACATAAATGATAAATACAGAATTAAATATTTTTCCCTGTGGATACTGTAAAACCAGATTGTCCAGGAAAAAGGAAACGCCCCACTTACTGGTCACTGCCATCTTCGGGTGTACCTGGGAGAGGAGATGGTGGTTATGAGAACCGCAGGAGTTCAGGTGCCGAAACCCGGCCCACCTCTGCCTGCCGGAACCTTCCCTCCAGCAGGTTTAGCTTTCCTGGTCTCCCACAGGAGTTCTGCTTTGCTTCGCTTCATTGCTCTTTCTTAGCACGCAAATAGACATTTGTGGTGAGTGGTGAATGAGGTGAAGGTATTATTTCTAGTTGTATTTAAAGACCACTGACTCAGTGTCTCAAAAGTGTATTACAAAGTATCACTCAGGTTATGAATGAGATTAAAAATAGGCAAATGTTTAATTCAAAAAATTATTACACTGAAAGAAATATAGTCCTTAATCCCACTCAAAATACTCTCCCTGTCTTTGAACACACTTTTCCTGTCTGTTATCACCTTCTGAAGCAGTTATGGAAGTCCTGCGTCCCGAGTGTCTGGTGGTGTTGTCCTGGATGACTTGATGTCCTGAATTGATTCAAAACATTTACCTCTCATGGGGGAAATATTTTTTGAGGTGGAAGGAGGAGCAGAGGGCGAAATTATTCTGCGCCAGACCTGGTTAATATGGTGGATAAGGGTACACCATAATATACTTACACATGTGCTTCTCCACTGGATGGAATTAGGAACCGGCGTTCATTATGTTTTTGATCACACCTCACAAAGACACTCATGAAAGAGGACTTCCAGAGCTGCTTCAGAGAGGGCCAAGAACCATGGGACAAACGGGCTTGCAGTGAGGGGGAGTGTTTTGAAGGGAATTCATGGTAATGTGTCTTTTACCATAATAAAATTATAAAATTTAAACTTTCACCTTAATTTTGATCATACTGTGCTCTAACTGAAACTACTCATTTGTGTAATCTGCTAGGATGCTTCTTGAGTGTCTGGGAGGTATAGTTTGGATTCAGAGTGAGGATGCAGGGTGGCTCATTCTCCACAAAGCACGGCCTCTCTGGAGTGGGTGTTGCTGGTCAGGCATCGCCCTGGGTTGACTGTGATAGATTACGGTGGCCGTCACCAGGCTTCCAAGAGCATGCCTCCCACACAGCTCCCAGATCTTGGGTCATTTTAGGTCTTGGCATTGGAATGTGCTCTTTGAATGTAACTCTCCTGGCTTTGACAGTTCTTGACACTTAGCTCCATCAACATTTTGTCTGCTTCTATTGTTGTTGCATTGCCTGGGACACCCAGCCCTCAGGAGTTAATCCATAGCACCATATCTGGGCACCAGTGGGGCTAACCGTCTTCTCTTCATCAGTAGGGTTGAGCATTTTTTTTTAAAAAACAAAACCTCCTGTATGTGTCAAATACAATTCCACCAATAGCACTCATGGTGCTGTTTCAGAATGAGTTGATAGGTTTGTGTGCCTGTTGTAATGTTTTCCTTAGGGTCCTGTAATGACGGGTCCTGAGCAGACTGGCCATGTCCACAGACATGAGGGGTGGCACGCCCACTGTGCTTACTCAGAGTGAAGTTCAGCCCACCATCACTGTTATCCGGACGAACTGAATTTCAAACTGAAACCTCTGAGTCACATTATCTTCCAGAGAGCAGAGTGGGTTTACTAATTTTCTGAACTTAATGAAGCCTTACCCGCAAACTTGAAGGGCTGATTAACTGCAGGTGTTTAATAGTGCTAATTTAAGGGTATCAGTGTTACAAATTTAGTTTGGAAAACAAAGTTAATGGTAATCAGATAGATTTGGTAGATAATATAATTTCCAAATTTGGTCTTAAAGCACTATATGTCTTTAGAATAGCTCTTCATAGTGGTTGGGATTTTATATGGCATTTAAATCCTCTTTAATACAAAATACCAACTTTTCAAACAACACATTTTTGAATTTCCATTTGCAAAGCAATTTTTCAAGATAGGATATTTTTATAAATGGATTTAGCACATGAATTTTTACCTATCCGATATACTCATCACCCACAGTTTCAGTTTGGATGGCTGATTTTCCATTAAAAAAAAGATTTATGGTTTAAATTCTTAAAAGAATTAATGTGATTTACAAAAGTGCTACCTCTGGAAACTGGGTAAGAAAACATATTTCAGACATTATTAAGAAATGTCTTCCCTCATTCCCTCAGGAAAAGACAATTCTTTGTTTTCCTGTTTTCTCCCTGGAGCTAAATGAGCCCGGCTTCTTGGTCCCTGGCTTCTTCTGTGTTGTCACAATCAGGCGTGAGGGTCTAGGAGATGGCATTGTCCTTAGTGTCCCAGGGCCCATGGTCCACACAGTAAGTGAAGCATCATGCAGTTGATGTGCCTTTTTAACATATGTATGCTTTTACCTTTATGAGACTTAGGTAGAATTTTGTTAGTGAACTATTTAGAATCGAAGTGGGGACAGGGAAGATGCGATGACCCTGGGCTCTTAAGCAGAGCAAGGGCCTGGTAGGTGTTAGGGACAGGGCAGTATTAGTACCATGTGGGCAGGGGATAAGAGGAATTATAAGGGCGCCCCACATGAAGATGTAACTGTACTATAATACTATGTAAATTATATCATCTTTTTTTTTTTCCAGGACTGAGGATTGAACCCAGTGCCTTAGCACTGAGCTACATCTCTGCCATTAAAAATGTATTTTGAGACAGGGTGTTGATAAGTCTTTAAATTATCTAGGAGGGGCTTGAACTTTCTATCTTTTTGCCTCAGCCTCCCAGAGGACTAGGATTGTAAATCTGCGCCATCATCAGATTTTGTGGGATTGAAACTGAAGGGACTGTCCCTCCGTTCCCTCTTGCCAGAAGTAGTGGTGTGTTATAAAAAGACACTGCAAAATGGTAGATGAGTTGGAACAGATGGCATGGTGGGGGATATAGAAGGGAAGAGGTGGGCTGGGCATTCCAGGAAGGGACCATGCAGAGGCAATCATGAACCACAGCATGACATGGTGCCATTTGGGCAGCTCTGGCTTGGGAGGCTGCCTGGAGCCCCCACTGTGGCAGACAGGCCATGGGCTGGGCTGAGGAGGGTCAGGCAAAGTTCTGAGCAGAATGGAGCCGAGGTACCCAAAACAGAAAAAAATGACATAATAAAGACAGAAAGAGACAGCAATGCAGTGAAGGGTTTAGTTGATGACGCTACATGCATATTGGCTCACTAATTATGACAAATACACTACAGTAACTTAATCTAAGAACAAGGAGGTCAGGCGTGGCATGTGCAAGTGCTCCTTGTCTTTGCAAATCATCCACAAAGTAGATCTATTCTAAGTGGAAAATATATTCTGAACTGAAAGAAACAATTTTAAATAGAAAGGTTACTTAGATAAAGAAAAACTACAACCCTGTCGTGGAAGACACCTTCACTGGGAGGCAGCAGAGCCTTCAAGATGGGAAACTGAGGTACAGAGCAGCTCTGAGCCCCAGGTTCCTTAGCAAGCCCTGCTTCTATGCCATCATGTGGAAATGGAATACAAACCTTCCTGAGAGACCAGGCATGCCAGCTAATGCCTGCTTGTCTCCCCTATTCCCTTGACCACCCACAAGAGGGGCTGTTTCATTCACAAGAATTCCCTCTCAGTATCTGCCAAGAGAGGTGACATTCACCAACATTTGCTGACTTTCTCTGCCTGCTCCTGTCTTAGTGACTGACTATTACACACCATTTACATTCCCTGTATGACCACCCTCATCTTACTAGGGGTGTAAGTTCAAGTTTAGTCTGAGCAAATATCCATTCTTCTTTTAGGAAAACAAAACAGAACAAAATAAAACAAAACAGTCACCTACCTGGCTCTTTCTTCCAGCACATTTGATACAAACCCACCAGAACAAATACTGAGAGTGTTATAACGATCAGAACTATGACTACCGGCAAAATGATACCTAGGAAGTATGGAGACATTGGTGATTAGTGTGGCGACTGGGTTTCACGCAGGTAGTTTCTGAGCAAAAACAGGCTTGCTTTCTGCCTTGAACATGGTTCTAATGATTGTTTTAGGTGAAGCAACTTGATCTGACTCATGGGCTTTGCTCTTGTGTCATTTCTGAGGTATCCACTTGGTGTCAGTCTTGCAGCCTTTCTGAAACAACTTCACCCTAGGAGCCCTGAGCCTGAGCAGGAGGAGAGGAAGGCTGGGAGGCAAGGACACCCCCAGATGACAGGGAAGCCACATGGCGCTCCGCAGGACTTCACAAGATGCTACTGGAAAAGAAGCACAGCCCCCTGAGCACTGCTCTAGTCCTAGTGCTGGCTTTCCAGAAACACTCACAGACATCTTCTCTAGAATACTGTTTTAAAATGAGAAAAGGCACAGCATGCCACAAGCAGATGAAATTCCCTTAGACTGAACAACATAGTTCAAAAGAGAGGTGCCTGCGTGTGTCTGCTCTGCAGTTAACTGAGGGGAGTTTGTTCCTGATTTTATTAAGGCTTTTATTGTTTGAAACAAATTCCTCTTCTTGTCTGCTCATTGTTGCTCAGCCTGACTCTGTCTGAGGATGGCGGAGAGGCATGATGGGCACAGAGCAGAGGGACAGAAGGCCAGGCCATGTTTGGACAGTGTCGCTTCTGTGTGTGCATCTGTTTCTGTGCTCACCAAGGGGTGAGGCAGGTCCTCCTGTCATGATGGGGTAGTCTGCACCTCCACAGTCAGGTCAGGTATTTATCCTAGGTGCATGTGCTGACTTCACGCCAGGCCTTGGTTGAGGTCGTGGCTGCCTCCCCTGGTAGAGACCCCTGAACCAGCATGTCAGTGATTCCTGTGCTAATTTACCTAATGAGACAGCTTTGCTCAAAGTCAAGATACTCTTGTAAGACTCTAGCTACATATATTTCCACCTGGTCCTCAATTGGTAAGTGGACTGGATGTCCTTAGCATGTGTGTATGTCATGTAGCACACACCTGTTTACCTGAAGTAGACCCTTTCATAGAGGGCACTGCTAAGAGAAAGATATCAGGGTGAAATGTTCCATTTTTGTGTCATCTAGTTATTTAAGATATTTAATGGCCAAATAAAGATGGAACATTTTCAAAGCATGCTTCACGAGGGTTTGGCACGGTTCATTTACAGAGGAGTCCCTAGGTGAGCACTTTGGCTTTCTGTAAACCAGTGCTGTCGTCATGCTTGGCTCTGGGTGGTAATTGCTTAGCACAAAGAAAGAAAATCACCAAGATGTACTAATTAAGATCAGATTCACAGTAAGTTCTCCAAGCAGGCATCTTGGAGTTACATAGGATTAGGATGGAATTGCAGGCTCAGTGGACTTGAGATAAGGCCTCCTTTAACCCTCCCCTTATTCTGTGTCTCGGATATCCAGTCTAGTCTCTTGCCATAGCTATGCCAGGAATGAAGATGAGTTGCTACTCACTGGAATAGGAGGGACTGGTTGAAAAAGAACTTGTATTTTTTGCATCTTCGATATCTATTATTTAAAAAAAGAAACACATAAGTCACATTTGGTTATCATGGGCCAGTTCTCACACTCCACCCTCTACCCTGATAGAAGGAATGTCTGTAACCGTATGTTTGATGCTTCAAGTGCAAACATTTATTCCAAAGAGGTCTGCTTTGAAAGTGGAGCTGGGCAGTTTCCTGGAGGAGGACACATCGTGCAGCCAAGTCTCCACTCAGACGAGGAGAGCTCGTACCTTGGGAATGTGAGACGTTCTCTGAAGTTGTTTGTGTGGAGGGTACCACAGTGGCTTCAGAAGGGGCTGGATCTTGTTGTTGGGTGCTAACTGTAGAAAAATCACAAATCCAGGGTCAGACTTTGATATAAACCTTGAGGTTGGACTATTTTTTTTTGCAATTTGCATTTTCGATGACCTGGGAAAACTATTGACTGTCAAATAATAGGATACATACATTGGTAGCAATAGACTGTAAGTTTATCTGTTCCTTCTGGAAAGATGGGTAAACCTGAAAGCGCATGATCTACATATCAGCTTTACATCTTGAAAAACTGACCAGCAAAACCCGCATCGCATCTCTTGTCTTCGGTTAGAGTCAGGATAGCTGCTCCAATGAGATTTTTGTGAGATGCAAATTCATGCAAAAAAGCCATTGAAATGTAACGTTATCACTTTGGGAGACAGTGACTGTCTCCTTGGGACCTAGGTACTTAGAATGGGCATGAATACATAGGACTTGGGATTTTATAGCATTTTCAGAGGGTGGAAAGATTGCACTGAGGGCTTTGCTAGAGTGCTTGAGGGATGTGAGAACGTTAGAATCCTTACAGCCTGGCAGCTGTCCGCAGTGTGCTTTGTCTAGAATAACTGCTGTGTGGCTTTATTTCCACAATATCCATACGCTTTTCTTTTCCAAAGAAAAATGTTATTAACATTTTATTAACAGTATTATTTATTTAACATTTGGTATCTTCAACCAGACCTAACTAGTAATTATGAATAAAGATTTGTTACTCAATACTGAATGCATCACAGTAAGTTTAAAGGAAACACAAGTCATTTAATTTTTTTTAATAATTTTTTTTTGTCTTTTTCATTTTTAGCAGTACCAGGGATCGAACTCATGACCACACACTTGCAAGGCAGGTGCTTATGCCGCTGAGCTAAATCCCCAGCCCCTATTTAATGTTTTACAAGCAGACAGCACTTCATCTTGTGATCCTGGGAACTGGGAATAAAATGTAAATTTCTTTTGGTATTGGGGATCAAACTCATGACTTTGCGTTTGCCAAACAGGCACTTACACTGCTAAACTAAACCCCTGGCCCATAAAATGTAGTTTTATTTAGAAATTTTGGGGAGCCTATTCTTCGTGCTGGATGAAGTACTCGGTAGCATCACGCCTGCTTGCCTCAGAGGATGGCTCTCCCCCTGCCTGCTGAGGCCCCAGCCGTGGCTGGTGAGCAGGCGGGAGCCTCCTGCTTGGTGGAGCTGAGAGTTACCGTCCCTCAGGAGTTTCAAGGCCGAGTTCAGTTGCACCAAAGAACTGATATTTCCAAGGCTGCCTGTGCTCCCTCCTTCCTGGCCACCCACAGCCCCACATACTCCTCTGCAAGCTCATGCAGTTCTGACATCTGTGGGGGTAGAATAATGTTTCGAGTCGGTACTGCTCTCACCATGTGAGAGATCTGTGGGAGGGAGCTCGATATATGCCCGTAAGAACAAAGGAAAATGTCAGGCTTGAGCACGGAGCAAGCAGAGAGAGGAGCATGAACTGGAAGGGGGGGAATGAGCTGGAACCCTGGAACCTTCGGCTGCCATTCCGAGGCAGGAGCTTCAGCGTGGATGTGCACCCCCTCGGATTTGCTGGGAGAGGCTGGAGCGGCTGAGTAAGCAGCCAGTGGACTCAATTCTCAGGATTCCCGCTGCTGCTTACTACTTTCTCCTAAGCAGCCCGGGCTGAGTGCAGCCTCTCCGGCCAGGATGAAACCTCATCCTGTCCCCTGGGAGCAGGCTGAGTGTCCCGGCCAGCAGCCTCCACTGCTGACCATGGACAGGCACCAGTCAGCCCCTCCAGTGCAGCAATCCAGCGACTGTTGGGCAGGAAACTTTCAAGGTTTTATTTGAGTTTTCTTTTCACTGCAAGCCTCAGCCAACAAATTGGTTCTGAATTCAAAACACTCACATTTACCCTGATTACGTGTAGCATCATCTGCTGCTGCCTGCTCGGGTCATGGCTTCTGTTAGTTACCCACAACTGGAGAAACCCTGTCTACATTTTCACACGACTCTATTTGTTGAAACCATAGTACTTGGGTTACTTCACAAATTGTGAGCTTGAAGTTATTCATTCTGTGACTGTGAAGGAGGGAGGACCCCTGTGCATCTGGCTGAGACCGTTTTCCTACATCACAATGGCACTGTCAGAGGAGGAACAGATGAAGCACAGAGTTTATATTCTCATGTGTCACATGATTCTGCTCCGAGGAAGCTGAGTCGTTCACCCAAAGTCAGTTTGTCTAATTTAAAAATACATGAAATAAGATTCCCCAGACACTTCCACCTGTCAGATGCTTCTTTGCTCTGCCAGGACCTGAGAAATTGAAGCACATGATGATCGTGGATGACATGGGCCTGATTAGGACCCTGACTTTGGTAATTACGATGATTACTGAATTATGAGTATATTGTGTCACAATTTTAGTTTGGTTTACAAATGTCAAATCATAACCTGAAGGAAGGGTTGGAGGCCCAGTTCTGTCCTAAAAATGTGACATGTAAATTGTGTAAACTGCCTGGTTTCTGGCAGTGCACGTCACTGGCCTTGCTGTAAACCAGTTAGTGGACAACTCGTTGACCCAAGCGAGGACGACAGTGTTTACTGGTGTCCCAGGGTGCCTGTGGTCACTGAAGAAGATGCTGTACTAAGCTCTGACTAGGAAAGGGAAAGGGACCCGGGCTCCCCAACCCCTGCAATCCCTCGCGACGTGTGCATGTGCCAGTGCAGAGCCTCCGAGGACACGCTGGGCCACATGGCACTGCAGGCTGTTCTGGCGGGTTTGTCCCGGAGCTCTGATGTCCTTCCGAGGGGAGCCAAAGACCTCCCTGCGCCTGCCAGAGAGCACGCAGGATCCCGGGTACTGTGGCGGTGCCCTCTTCTGCTCCACTCCGTCTTCACACTTGCTGGCCTCAGCGGCTGTCCCTGCCTCTCCAAGGCACTTTCTCTAACGCACCTGAGCGCTCAGTTGCGTCTTACTCCCTTCTGGAAGTTTCTGACCCAGGCAGCCCCTAGCAGCACCCGCTCAGCATCACCTCTCCTGGCTGGTGGGAATAGAACCTTGGCCCCTTTAACCAGAAATCACAGCTGGGGTTTGTCTTCTGACCTTTTTCCTTTTCCCCTTCTTTGGAGAACTTTGCCCTGCCCATGGGGGAACCTGTGTGGTCACCTGAGTCCTCTTCCTTATTCAAGCTGTGGGCACTGTGTGAGAAAGGCCTCTCCTAACAGTCTGTACCAAGAGCTGAGCTATTCCCAGGGGCACTCTCTGAGCAGACCAACTACAGGAATAAGATCCCTAAAATTAACTTGCATCTTTCTGGACTGTGAGCTTCCTTGTAGCATTGTAATTAAAAAGAAATCATTTGGTTGATTAACTAGTCACAGCTAAGATTTATTGTTTGCAGTCAAATAATTTAAATATTTACTGTATCATTTATTTCTTTTGGCTAGCAGAAAACAAGGGTGTAACCCTCTGTGTCACTAGCACCTGGTTCTCTAGTTTGCTGTCCTAGTGCTTATCCCATTGCCCACAAACACAAGGATTTTTTTCTGCCAGTTCATTGCTAACATCACTGACCACCTGCCCAGCATGGTTTCAAGTATGCACAAACTTTCCTAGGCCCATTTAAATGCCCCTGAAATGTCCACATCTGTTTATTTTTAAGCATAGACTGAAGTTTCGTTTCACTGTGGCACAAAGTCTTAACTAGATTTGGATTACACCATAAATTGGTGGCCCTTTCTCTGAGAGAAATTTTAGGACAGTTATCTACACAGTTATTCCCGACACTACTGATTTTGCTTGCGACCCTCAGTTAGGAAATCATTTCCAAATTCCGCACACGCATTCACCTTGGTTATGTGTAATGCCACCCGCTGTTGCCTGTTCATTTTCATCTTCACAGTGCTGGTCGTGGCTTCCATCAGTTACCCACAACCTGAGAAGGCCTGCTTTTCAGATGATTATGTTGTTGAAACCGTGGTACTTGGTTTATCTCACATATTGTGAGCCTGAAGTTACTTTTGCTGTGACTATGGTGCAGACATGGGCTGATGATCGTGTGTGTTTGGTCCATCAGAACATGTCCAGTGTGTATCCTACTTGCTCTTAGAGGATGAAATTATGGCTCTTAGAAGGATTTCATGTTACCCCAGTACTAATGTATAACCCCATAAGCCTGGCTCACTTAGTCATATCAGATCATTAGTTTGCAACTTAGAAAGAAGGAATTCAGAAGCAGGAACATGAGCTATGTTAGCAGGAGATTAGTGTAGGAGATGTGCGGGTTAACACTCCAGTGTGAGGCTGGAAATACAAGTGTGTTTCACTTTACGGCTCCTACGTTGCCTGCTTCTTTTAATGGGGAAGTGTTTGATATGCCCATCCTGAGGGCTCAACTCCATTGCATGGAGCGATTATTAATTGCTTTAAATGGTCTGCAAATAATTGAAATGGTCTCACTGCAACTTGATGGGTTCCTGTTCCATTTCCACACAAAACTTTTCAATATTGACACAATAAATTCTTTCCTCTTCTTTAGAACACGTTAATTGTGCGGTTTTTGAATGAGCACCCTGCTGGGTTTGCTACAGCTGATCTCTCAGGCTCCTTGATTGACTCTTTGACTTCTACCTGAATTACATCCTTGATGGGCCCGAGGGCTCAGTGTTGCTCCTCACCTCTAACTGCGCTCATTTCTGTAGGCGTCTCACTCACTTTGGGGTGTAAACAGCACCTCTACACCCCGTCTTCCAGCTCGTTCCAGCTCCGGCCCAGCCCACTTTCCTCAGCTTCAGATTCAAGAGTTCAGATGCCTCCTGAGCAAGCCACAACACTTTCCATGCAATGTGTCCGCACTTGAACTGCTTCATCTACGGTGTCCCCTTTCCTCTTGGGGCAACAGTTCTCTCCTAGGGCTCAAGCCAGTGCTGGATTTGGGTTCGTCTCGTTCTGTTCTCTCTCACCTGCCATCATCAGGAGCCCCCAAAGCTCCACTGAGAAACACATGTAGAACCTGGCAGGTTGAGGTCGCCCAGGCTGCCCTCCCCT